AGAGAGAGAGAGACAGAGAGAGAGAGAGAGAGAGAAGCAGAGAAAGAGAAAGAGATGAGAGAAAAAGAAAGTGAAAAATGAGAGAGAGAGTCTCACTTTCACATCATCCGAAAATAAAAGAGAGAGAGAGAAAGATAAATAGAGATACAGAGATCTCGAGGGAAGAAGAGAAAGAAAGAGAGAATCAGAAAGAAAACTCAGAGACAAAGACAACAGACAGACAGATGTCTTACCTTTATAATTTAACCACCCCCTCCTTTCCAATCTACCACAAGCAGTAAAAAACAACAACATAAAAGCAAAATAACACACACATAAAAAGAAAAACAAAACGTAATGAAAATAACCAAACCAACAAACAAACCTCTCACCTAAAAGTGGAGGCAAAAAGTTGACGTTACATTCAATGTGAGAGTCGAGGAAGATGAGCACTTCCCCTGTAGCCTGGCGTGCGCCCATGAGTCGCGTGCGGATGAGGCCCTCGCGCTTTTCGGCCCGGACGACACGTACATTGGTGAAATGTTCCTTGACGTAGTCATCCAGCGGCTTGTGGCATTCCGCTAAGGCAAGGAAAAACCATGGAAGGGGATTAAAACTTTCATTTGAACTTTCACATATATCATTTCTTCGAATGCTTTAGTAAAGACACAACACGACATTTAGTCCTGAGAAAAGTAAGAAAGATAGACAGAAAAAACAAAGGTAAAACACGGTTAGGGCCTACTGGTGGCGAGGTCGCCTGGTGTCAGAAGTACAATTAGCTAGAAAATGGCAGCCAAAATCTGGTGACTTCCAAACCTTGGAGTGTCATTGGAAATGACCCATTTGAATTTGTTGCACCTTTGACCAGCGTTTTTAAACAAAATTCATCCAGAAAAGTGTTGTCAACTGAACATTTTTAAAAAGATGTTGAGCCCCCTCCCCAAAAACGAAACAAAACAAAAACAATTTTTAAAAAAAATTGATGAAAATGAGCAAAAAAATGTCAGTTTCTTCAATTTCAGTACATTGAAGAGCGTCTCATTTCACCACGATGACACAAATATCATGAAGACAGCGGCCTTACTTTTGGTGCTGTGGTCATCAGCCAGAATGATCTCCTTGACCAGATCTCGCGGCGCCCGGTTGAGGATGCTGTACACAGAGCGTATCAGGGTGGACAGATGCTCATTGTGGAAGGGCAGGATGAAACTCGCTGTGGGCAAGTACTTGAGGTACTGCTTTTTCTGACAGCTGAAAAGGCAGGGAGAGAGATGGAGATATTGAGCAACAAGAAGATGTTAAATAAGGAAAAATAAGGAATTTATAAAGACTTTAAAATTTTTAAAATTATAATTTCTCTGTCCCCCCCCTCCCCCCAAAAATAAATAAATACAAAGTAATTAACAAAACAACAATTAACAGCAATTCTACATACAACAATGAATAAAACAAAAACATCAACCCGAGAACAATAACATCAACAAACACAACTAAATTGTACACAGCTACTTCTGCTTTCCGGGCAGTTTCACGCTATTTAGGAAGGTATGCATCATCTTTTATTTGTCTTGTATACATACACGCACATGCATACACACCCGTGCACAAATACACAAGCATACACACCCATACATACATACACAGACAGACAGACAGACAGACAGACAGACAGACAGACACACACACACACACACACACACACACACACACACACACACACATACATACATACATACATACATACATACATACATACATACATACATACATACATATTATTTATATATGTGAGGCAGCATGGTAAAATTAGGTGCTTGTCAAAATAATGAAAGTCAAGGAATTGTCATTTTCCCGCAGGTTTGGGAACTTTTATTGAATTCTTTTTTTTTTTGGTTCAACACCTGTCATGCCTATTAAAGAGTAGATTTCTGAGTGGACTTTTACTGAAAAACGTTAATTAAAGGCAGAAGATGTGTAAATTTTCAGTTTGCACGAACTCTCAAACTAAAGAAATAACTGAAATTTGGCTAATGTTGCATTTGAAACCATATGACTCTCACCTCCTTCAATCACACATATCTCGACTTCTATTCAACATAGATGGATATTATTTCCTCCCAAAACAAGGAAAACGGACAGGCCCTAAGATGATACCATCAACTCTGTAGGCCCAAAAATTGACGAGCGCCTGACTCCATCATGTCGTGACACATTATGAATAATATTATATCTTCCTATACTCACTCTGGGTGCCGTATGTCCCTGAGCGAGCGCTGCGTGGAGATCTTGTCACTGACCAGGGCGTTGAAGCCGTTGGAGCGGTACAACAGGTCTTTGCCCTCTTGTTCTGACGGCGACATGAGGTAGGCCGCCCCCTGCTCTCCCGGCCCTGACAAATGTACAATCAAAATTGTCCGAGACGGCCACACTTTGGCGAAGTGAAAAGGGTTTTGGTTTTTTTCGTTAGTTTTAGTAAGAGTGTTGCGGCACTTGCAATACAATAAGCTCATGTCAGTGCCGAAGACAAGAGGTGTTACAAGAGAGTAACGAACACAAAATAGAAGGAGAAGAGGCGACAGATTTTTCATAGGAAAGAAGTAGCAAACCACACCAGAGCACCCGCGAACCACCCATAGGGGAAAAGGGGTTGTCTTATTGCTTTAGTAAGAGTTTTACAGCACTTGCAACCAATTAGGTCATATGACATAATAAGTGCCACAGATTAAAGGTGTTACAAGAGAGTAGCGACCATACAAAAAGAGGAGGGATAAGACCGATAGATGCTGAATAGGAAAGAAGGAAAAAAACAACACACAAGAGCACCCCCCAACCACCACTTTAGACAAGAGGGCATATTGGACAATGCAATGATGATATAGCAAAAAACGCAAGTGGAAACGTGGGAAGTGGTTGTTTGTACAGGTGATTGGCTTGGACAGGTGGCCATTACAGCAGATGTTTTACGCCCCCGCCGCTGCTTTGATCAGGTCCAACTTGGGCTGTGAGGGATAAAACGTCTCAGGCGACAGACGGAGACACGCGATAATATCCCCTCCCTTCCCCGACCTATGGGAATTAAATTCCTGTCAAACTGCGTGCGATGGCCAAGTCGCTACCTTAGAATTACGTTCTATCTGACATTTTGGAGTATTCGAGTTACTAGGACCAAGTGGTCAGAAACCAAATAGTTTATCTCTTCCATCAAACTCGTAAAATTATTAATCAGGAGTACTTGATAAGCACATAGAGCTTGCTGTTGAGCGGGAATTTGCGCTATACAAATGCTATCTACCTACCCCCCCTCTCTCTCTCTCTCATTATTATCATCATCATTGTTATCATTATAATTACAATTATTATTATCATCATCATCATATATAGTATTATTATTATCAATACGCTATTATCACTGAGGAGCACTCACCCTGCCTCTGTTTCTCCGCCTCGATAGACTTGTAGTCATGCCAGTCAATTTTGTCTCTTTTCGCTCGTGTCCTCTCCAGTATTTCATCAAACACCTGCAAGAAAGAAAAGATGAAGTTATTCACAATTATACAGTTTACTTGAATTATTTTCTAGGCATACACCACTGCCAAAGTCGGTTCCAACTCACTCAAAAGCAAAAGCAGGTCGGCCCTTTCCTACAA